GCCATCGAATTCATCATAGTGGGATTTTAAATCTCACCAAAATCGGTGTTTTGGTATTGGCTCCTACGCCATTTCATCTTAACAGTATATGGGACGAGATATCCACTGGAATGCATAATTTGGGCTACAGCCGTAGTGCAAAGAAATGTAAAGAGAGATGGGAAAACATCAACAAGGATTTTAGAAAATCAATAGGAAGTGTTAGGAAGCGATTTGACAATGGTAAGAGACGCACATCTTTTCAGGAATTGAACACGCTCTATAGTAATGATGAACATGCCAATGCAGGAAATCCTATGAATTATGCAAAGAATGAGAATGATAAGGTGGTGGATATTGGTTTTAAGGATTCAAATGATCCCTCTGACTTTAAAGCAGATGATGGTAGCTAATTTTTCAAGCCCCTATTATAACCTTATATTTCATTCTTTAGTTGAAGATTTAATGATTAGCCTACCCAATTTGTGTCTCTGTGCCATTTTGCTTTTCTAAAACAGATTCATGGTTTGTTACAAATCTTGTAAACCGCTGAAGTACAGGATATTGTAGCATTTTCTATCGGCATATGTATGTATAATTATGTCTTACTCTATTAACTTCCATTGAAAGAGATCAAGACTGCTGCTCTGGCTAGAGTGGAGGGTGTTATGCAAAAGGTAATCTGCATGCTATTGCCTTGGGGTTTTTTGGCCAGCCTGCATGCTATTGCTTAGTAATGGAGTTTGAATGTCTCTCCTTCCAGTTAGTAGTAACTATACATGCAGATTCTTTTGGGTTTGCATCCAGATGTTTGGATTAAGCTTGTTGTTGATATATAGAGCTAGGTAGGATATATTCTTCCTTTTATTGTATTGGTATTGTAAACCCTTGTTGGAAATAAAGATTTGGGAGGAAAGACTGGAGAAGAACTCAAGAAGAAACTTTCCAAAAATGCTTCCTTATTCTTGGCTTGGATATATCAATGCTCAAGTATAAGCACAAGCCATTTTATAGGCACAAAAGACTCCAAACCCAAAACAGTTAAATGCAACTCCTAAAAATTGTAAAGATAAAATAAATGAGTACATGAACTATGCTAGCACATGAACTATGCAGGTACATGACTAAAAATAGGAGATTAATAAATCAAGTTTATTTTTCCAACACCCCCCCTTAAACTTGATCACCTCTAGTCACTCCAATCCAAGCACGCAGTCTTGCAAAATCTTCAAACTTCAGTGCCTTAGTGAAAATATCTGCAATTTGATCATTAGTCTTCACATAGGCAAGCTTTACATCTTTCCTCTCAA